TCTCATTAATCTCCCTGCTCAGGAGGTTATGTGGCCTAGAGTTGCAGAGCCCTTTGGAGAAGTCCCCTATTCCCTGATTCAGACTGACTCAGAGGGCAAGAGCCAAATATTGGTTTTCTTGGCCCTTTTAATTTAACTAATTTTAAAAACTTGATCTTAAACATCCAGCAAATAAGTTAACAGCCTTATATTAAGAGCACTGGGCTTTAATGTCTATCTCTCTATCCTGTAGGTGATAACTCCTTATCTTATGTTGACCCAGGTTGTGTTCTTAAAGCAATACCTCTTTAAAACATTAACAGGCAATCCTTAAACCATCTATAAGCAAACTACAAAACAAAACTAACTAGGGTAAAAACATATTTAGCTTATATAATAGCTACCTTGAATTCTGGCAGGGTTATACATCATAATTCCCTGTTTGAGATCCTAGTAATCTTGGCAAAAACCTACTTTTGGACACAACTTTAACTGTACTGAAATCTGGCTTACTTCTTTCATAGCCACTTTCACATGTAGTGAGATGGGACAGAGCCTTATCTCAAGTAAGGCAGGGCTCTTTATAAATCTCAAGTACTATAGTTCTGAAGCTGATCATTTTACAAAGTTTACATAAATTGTTGTTCAAGTTTACATGAACATTAGCTAACACAACATAATATCACACCTAAAACATGAATTAAAGGCTGAAAGCTTTCAACCTCTTGTAGAAAAGTAGTAATGTACTTTTGTGTTTTGCAATAAAACCTTCACACAGATTAGGCTCTCATTAACTTAAAAATACATAAATTGTATCTCAGAGTAGAAAGTAACATGGAACCGTACATATCTTATTGATAACAAGTCCAGTTGTAGAACACAAATGATATGAATAAATCTCCAACATGTTTTTTTTTTTTTTAAGCCTAAAATTACCATACAACTTTAGAACACCAGCTTGATACAATGTTCTTTTGAAGCTTCTACCTTATAGACTTGTATTCCTGGAAGATATGAACACATTAATAGCACCATAATTACATTGATGTTTTTATATTAACCGAGGTTAGCTTTTAAAGTAACAACATTACAATATTGAAAAATAACAGCTGTTGTTTAACCATAGTTGTATAATCTTCAATTTCTTTAAGATTATTTGCTCAAAAACTTACACACATAACCAACTTACACAAACCTTTTTTATCACTTACTTAAACCTTCTTAATTACTTAATCACATAGACTCTCTTATCCAGAAACACATTTTCCCTCTATTAAATCCATACCTAAAACTTTCTAGTTTTTTTTCCATCTGTTAACCTCCTTTTGTTCACACTTTAAAACAATATCCGTAAATTTCTGAATTTAAGCAGATTATTTTATAGACACCATCATTTTATCTGTTTACCCAATTTAAATTGAACCATTTGAATCACGTGAATCAAAGATATTTGGATCCATTTTTAAATTTTTTTATGAGCGCTCCTCATCTGTCAATTGTCATATCACTGCAGGATATATGGACATACACACATACAGACATACCGACATACAACACATAACACAAATGTAACACCCTTGTAGCTTTTTCAGGTGAAATCTCCATTGCAATGTTTAAAAACTCCACAGTTGATCAGAAATAGAACTGATCAGAAAACATTAACTCGTCTGTGGGATTAAAATCATGAGCTCCAAAAAAAAAAAAAATGCAGAATCTAAGAAAAAGCAAGAGTCCTAAGAAAGATGACTGGCCAGTAATTAATAAATACCATATAATTTACTTTAGGGTTGGGGTCTAGTTTGAGTTCAGGTAAAAAGACACTTTAACCTTTTTTTTTTTTTCCCTTGGGCCTGAAATCTGCCCTCTGTTGAGCCCCAGGCTTCTTCTATTTGCATATCAGCTTAAGTCCTGGCTGAGGTCTGGAAGGAACTGGGAAAACTGGAATTCTGAGCAGAAACCTCATGCCTAAGGCATTTTAGCTATAAGTCATAATTTTCAGGTTTAAGATGCAATTCTCAAAATTTTATATCTTTATATCTCTTTACATTAGAAACACTTGCTCACACAAAACTGAAAATAGGATCTTTTTCTGATAATATAAAGGCCACCATCAGAGGAAATTTCCTCAGGATCATTAAGCTGCTTCCTTTGTTCTGAAGTTCCTAAAGTAGTATTAAGTTTTATCATGTATATCCAAAATTAAGCCTTAAAAATTTCCAAGACTGTTGCTAATTAATGTCATTTCAATAAGCCAGACCAACGTTTTAATTTAGCACCCCCCCTTTTTTTTTTCCTTGAATCTTACACACTGAGGGGAACAGATATCATATCATAATTTATTATCTTCGCCCAAGTTAATGCACTGGAATACCTAGTGAAGTTTTCTCAGGCTACCCAGTTCAAAATTGAAACTTTCTAATTTTTTTTTATCCTAAGTATTTAAGTTTTCTAGCATGAACTATCTGAAATCAAACTAAACAATTGCTTAAACCCAACTTTTATTTATTTATTTATTTATTATTTTTTTTTTAAAATTTTTGAGCTCCCATTTTTACCCCATATACAGATTGCAGAATCACATCAGTTACACATCCATTGATTTACATATTGCCATACTAGTGTCTGTTGTATTCTGCTGCTTTTCCTATCCTCTACTATCCCCCCTCCCCTCCCCTCCCCTCTTCTCTCTCTGCTCCCTCTACTGACATTCGTTTGTCCCCCTTATATTATTTTTCCCCTTCCCCTCACTTCCTCTTGTATGTACTTTTGTATAACTCTGAGGGTCTCCTTCCATTTCCATGCATTTTCCCTTCTCTCTCCCTTTCCCTCCCACCTCTCATCTCTGTTTAATGTTAATCTTCTTCTCATGCTCTTCGACCCTACTCTGTTCTTAGTTACGCTCCTTATATCAAAGAAGACATTTGGCATTTGTTTTTTAGGGATTGGCTAGCTTCACTTAGCATAATCTGCTCTAATGCCATCCATTTCCCTGTAAATTCTATGATTTTGTCATTTTTTAATGCAGAGTAATACTCCATTGTGTATAAATGCCACATTTTTTTTATCCATTCATCCATTGAAGGGCATCTAGGTTGGTTCCACAGTCTAGCTATTGTGAATTGTGCTGCTATGAACATCGATGTAGCAGTGTCCCTGTAGCATGCTCTTTTTAGGTCTTTAGGGAATAGACCGAGAAGGGGAATAGCTGGGTCAAATGGTGGCTCCATTCCCAGCTTTCCAAGAAATCTCCATACTGCTTTCCAAATTGGCTGCACCAATTTGCAGTCCCACCAGCAATGTACAAGTGTACCCTTTTCCCCACATCCTCGCCAGCACTTGTTGTTGTTTGACTTCATAATGGCTGCCAATCTAACTGGAGTGAGATGGTATCTTAGGGTGGTTTTGATTTGCATTTCTCTGACTGCTAGAGATTAAACCCAACTTTTAACTGCAAGATAGTGCAATGCTTTAGAAACCCATTCAGATACCAGATTGTTACAATAAAAAAAAATTTATCTTTTAGATACACATTTAGCCAAGGTCATCCCCAAGAAACAACTTATAACATCAACACATTACTGCATTTATTGTCTCATTAGTTAAGCAAACAGAGGTGGATTAATCTTTAAAGTGCAGGTAAGGAATGAGGAAACTCCCCAAAGCAAAATGGCTTTGGCAGCTGCTGGGAGCCCCTTAGTTCCACCTTTTACTTCCAAGATTAGTTCCTCTGCTTAGGTTTGACCCCAGACACCAGGCATTTTTCACATCTCCTAACTTTTTAGTAGTCAGCTTCCCAAAAAGCTGATCCTCTGCTTGCAGTTGTTTTGAGTTTGAGAAAAGTTTAAGCAAGATATCAAAGTTTTTAGACCCCAGGCATTTCCCTCTGCAGTGGGCGTGGAAGAAAACACTGCTTCCCTAATCTTGCTCAACAAAGGGGGGTAAAGTTTATCAAAGTTCTTTAAAACACAGCTAAGAGAGGTGTAAAAGGTGAGAACAGAAAAGCTGGCGGTTCTATTGACTTTTGGTCCCTCACAGGAGAAGCATTAGGTTAAAATTTAGCTAAAGTTACTTCCACACATCTAAGGCCATTTGGAATTTGGGACTCTGCATCGGTCCAAAGTAAAACAATGCCATCACACTTAACAGAGACACAGACAAAATGACACACAAAGATCATCATGCAGCTCCCGTTCGTTCACAACCCCAAGATCTACAATCTTGTGACTCAAGGAGAATGGAGGGAAAAGGGGGAGGAGCAGAAGGATTGAGTGATAGGATCTTGGGGGAAGGGGTGGGAGTGGAGGCAGGGACCAAGAAAGGCTTCAGGGACAGGGGCGTGGAATGGCTTTGTCCCATACTGGGAGTTACTCAGGCAGAGACAGGGACAATACAAACGTGACACAGAGACAAGGACAAACAGTAAACGGTTAACACAAGTTTAGAGGCAAAGATTAAAGACAGACTGTGAATCCAATCTGAGAGAAAGAATTGCCGGCGAAACCAAACGGGTTGGCAGCAGAGTACAAACGAGGGCACTCTTGTCCCTCTACCAACTGGGGGCACTTTTGCCCCCCCCCCCCAATCCTCTAAGGCGTCCCTTAAGAGGAGTGGCCTGTGGATTAAGACATGTCTGTCACCACTGCCAGGGAGAATTTACACTCTCCACTGACGGCCACGCTGCCAACCCAACCAAACCAATCCAAGCCGAAGACCAAACCTGAACCAAAAGGCTCTGAGAACTTACGCTCTCCACCGAGCCAAAAACCAAAAAGCTCTGAGAACTTACGCTCTCCATCAAGCCAAAAACCAAAAAGCTCTAAGCGATCACAAAGGAAAAACAAGAAGGAGAACAAGGAGAAGAAAAGGAGGAAGAAGAAGAGGAAGAGGCGCCTTACTTACCCCCTAAAGGAGTCCATTGGAGGTCTCCTTGTCCGGCGATGCGCTTTTCCCGGCCAACGCACCAAATGTAAGGGTCCCGCGAAACGTCGGAGAAAGAGACCACCAAGTGACCACTCATGCAATTGGCAGAAGGGGGATTTATTGAACCAGCATGCTGGGGCTCCGTGCCCACTCAAGAAGGGAAAGCAGCCCAGAGCCCCGAGCAGGGGCTGAGCACTGCTTAAGTACACTTTTTGGGGAGGGTGGAGGGCTTTGTATACATCAGAACAAATCATCATGAGGCGCGGGAAAATTGAACAACAACTCCTAAACCTGATTAGTTCATTCATTGGCGGGAACAGGTCAGGCTGGAGTGATAGGTCATTCCTAAGGAGGGGGTTACATTTAAACTGATTGGTCCAGGCCCTGCAATGCCTGCGTGCAACCACACAGACCCCTTCAGTTATTAAACAACCAGACAATCAGGGGAAATGTTTACTGGGCGGTTCTAAGCATTGTCTTAACAGCTAACTCAGACCTTGCAGCTTAGAAACTTTTACAACACCCGGTCTTTTACCCTTTAACTTTTACGCTTTAACTTCAATTTCTTTTACCCTTACAAGATTGAAAATCACCTGAATAAAGAATAAAATATATTAATGTATGGGAAGACTTAAAACAGTAAAGATGTTATTTCTTCCTAAACCTGTCAACAGAGTCAATGCAATCCTTGTCAAAATTGCAATGAGTTTATTTTTGTGGAATTGGCAACAGATTCTAAAACGTTCATGGCAGGGTCAAGACTAGACATGAGACTCCTGAGAAACAATAATGTGGCATACATACTCTACTAGATATTAAGACATGATACAATGCTGAGAGCCATAGCCAAGTTGGAAATGACGCATGGCATTTTTGGGTTGAAACTGTTCAGAAAGGTGACCCTGCTCAGGGATTAGGGTGGCTCCAGGTTTAGGGTGGATCCTGCTGGATTAGGGTGGCTCCAGGTTTAGGGTGGATCCTGCTGGATTAGGGTGGCTCCAGGTTTAGGGTGGATCCTGCTGGGAATAGGGCATATCCTGCTGCCTCAGGCGCCGGCTCCTTGAGTTCCCCTGGAGTTCTTGGGGGGTTCTGAGAGAATTGGTGGAGGAAGTGTATTTTTCCCAGAACGTGCGTGTAGAGTTTCGGTGAGAGTTCGGGAATAAAGAGTTGCTGTTTGAATCTACAAGGCTTGTGTGGTGGCTCGGTTATTTTGTGCCCAGACAGACTGCGGCAATACAAGTCTATACAAGTCTATAGTAATTGAGACGGTATGATACTGATGAAGATACTAATAGGTCAACAGATCAGAACAGAGACACCACATGTAGACACATAATATATGGCAAAAGTATTACTGTAAATGTGGCACTTGTAGTACTAGATTAATTGTTTGTGTGTGTGTGTGTGTGTGTGTGTGTGTGAAAGGAGGGAGAGTTAGACCCCATCTCACACCACCAATAAAAATCAATCAATTCCAGCTGGATTGTTGCTCTAAATGTAAAAGATAAAGATCAGAGAGAACCCAGAAACAGACCCAGGAAAAGGATGAGAAGGAGATTTACTTTTCATTTTTGAATATTTTGAATTTAATAACTGCAATAGAACTGTAAGTTACCCTACTACAGCATATCTAAATGGCATTGAGACATGGTGGTTTACAATAATTTCTGTTGGTCTTCGAAGGGATCCAGATCCCTTTCTTGAAATAGACTTAACCTAAGGAAAGATATTGTCAGGAAACCATTTCAAACTAAGTTCTTTCCTTTGTGATATGGCTCATCGGTCAACGAGCATTACTGAACTGTGATTCCCAAGTTTCTAGTTCTCAGTTGTATCCTGATTCAGTCCAATCCCAAACGAGGCATTTCTACCTGCTTCTAATACCTTAGATATCTGCTGCATTTAAGGATGTTTCCTTATTCTGCAGAGTTGTTCATTCATACTCCTTCATGAGTCTGGGCAATTTTGTTAAAAATAACTCTGTCAATTCCTCTTTCTCCAAATAAATCTATTGATTCTCCTTGAAACATCAATAGGTTAAAAAAAAAAAAAAACCCAAATGAGCATAGCCCTAGGTATTAAAAACACACTAATTGTAACACCATACCCATATAACATTTTTTATTAGAAGGACTATCAGGGGGCTGGGGATGTGGCTCAAGCGGTAGCGCACTCGCCTGGCATGGGTGCGCCCCGGGTTCGATCCTCAGCACCACATACAAAGATGTTGTGTCTGCTGAAAACTAAAATGTAAATAAAATATTAAAAAAAAAAGAGAGATTACAGATCAGGGCTGAGAATATAGCTTAGTCAGTAGGGTGCTTTTTTTTTTTTTTTTTTTTTAAAAAAAGAAGAACTATCAGGTACTATATGCTTTTGAACCCACCTAAATATAGAATTTCTTACTCAATAGAATTTTATTTTTTTTTTGGCGGTGCTGTGGATTGAACTCAGGGCTTGTGCATGCAAGGCAGGCACTCTACCAACTGAGCTATATCACCAGCCCTTATTCAATACAATTTTGATTAATATGGGCCTATATGAAAATAGCTTTGCTCCATCAATCTGTTTATAATTGCAATAGTCAACTAGAAATTTTACTTCCTAGTTGCATCTCCTTGCCTAATAGCAGGTATCAGTAGTAGCTAAAATGAATCATAGCTTATTCCTATATCATTAAAAATATAATTAACAATGCTGTTCTTTGAAGATCTAATACCTAATGAGTATGGTGATCAAACTCATGAAATAGCCACAGAGGTTATTGCCTAAATAAATTTGATAGTTAATACTTTGAGATGACTCAAAAGTATTCTTAAATATTTCCATGTAGTCTATTAAGTTCAAAATGGGTAACAGATATTTATCACAGCATATTGATGAATTCCAAGATAAATTTTTAGAAAGAAACTCATGCAAACTTATAATACAGTCATTATTTCACTGCCACCTATTAGTGTCAACATTTATAAAATAACAGGTATTATTTCACTGGACTATGAAATGTGTATTTACTCACTGTAGAAGCATATGAAAACCATATCCACTTGAACTCTGGGAAACACACTTTAGAACTTGGAATAGATAGATCCATTCAGTGCCTGGACTTGCAAATTGGCAGTACTTTTGTGTGTCTCCCACACTTCCTCTTAAGGAATGGCTGAAATTTTGTTCTTCCAGCTCCACATGAAGCTAATGGCTAGGGCTTGTTTCTATCACCACTCCTACTTCAAAGTGGGCTCCCAGGAATATCCTCATAGCTCTCTTGCTCACCCCTCATGGGGCAGTAACCAGTCTCATATTTGTGAATGAACTTAGAATGAAAGTGCCCTTTGTTTCCTAGATAATAGGAGGAGGAAGTAAGAAAGTAAATAATGTTAATACTAAATTCCATTCATTCCAAGTTGTAGATTAAAATAATCAATGTAATATATGAGCTATCTGAAAACTCTTAGAAGAAAACATAGGAGTAAATCTCTGAGAACTTATATTAGGCAATGATTTCTTAGATGTGACACTAAGAGCACCATCAAAAGAAGATAAAATTGGACTTCAGCAAATGTAAACCTTTTGTGCTTCAAGAAACACACACACACACACAGAATGATAAAACATTTGCAAATCACATATCCAATAAGGGATCTGTATCCAGAATTATATAAAGAATTCATAAATCAACAATAAAAGAAAATCCCAATAAAAATTGGCCATGAATTTGAGTAGATATTTCTTCAAAGAAGATATACAAATGACCAAGGAGCACATAAAAAAATGTTCAATACCAATAGTCATTAGGGAAATACAAATCAAAACCACGAAAGATCACTTCACACCACCCAGGTTAGCTACAATAAAATAAAATGAAATAAAGCAGCTGTATCTGTGACAAAATATCTAAGATAAAACACTTAAAAAGAAAAAAGGTTTGGGCTGGGGTTGTGGCTCAGTGGTAGAGTGCTCGCCTAGCACATGCAAGGCCCTGGTTTGGATCCTAAGTACCACATAAAAATGAAAAAAAAAAAGGTATTGTGTCCATCTACAAATAACAAATAAATATGAAAAAAAAAAAGAAAGAAAAAAGGTTAATTTTGGCTCATGGTTTCAGATGTTTCAGTTCATGGTCAATTGGTTCCATTGCTTCTGGGCCTGTGTCATGCTAAATCAATAAGCCAATCCCATAATGCCAAAGGTTGAATGTTTTCTCTGATATGTGAAGGCTAACCCACTTAAGTGGGGGCGGGGCAGGGGGAGAAGTTTAGTAGATTAGATAATGGGGAATAGAGGAAAGGGAGGGGAGACAAGAAAAGGAATCTGACATAATTTTCTTATGTACATATATGAAAACATCATAGTGAATTCCACAAGAATGGATTCTAACTAGAATAAGATATATTCCATGCTTGTGTAATTATGTCAAATTGCATTATACTGTCATATACAACTAAAAAGAACCAACAAAGAAATAAATAAATAGAATACCATGGCAGGGTGTTATGGAACTACACAGCCAACCTTATGGAGACCAGGAAGTGGGGTGTATGGTGTGTGTATGTGTGTGTGTGTGTGTGTGTGTGTGTGTTGAACTTGAGAGAATTTGAGAGAAAGGGAGAGGGGAATCCCTAGGTTCCCAAGATCCCCTTCAACGACACATCCATAAGACCTAACTTTCTTCTACCCAGCCCTATTAAAGGTTCCACCACAGGCTGATGATCAAGTCTTTAACACATGGGCCACTGGGAGATAGTTTTAAATCACAGCATCTGGCCAGAATTTTGAGAAACTGGAACTCTTGTACATTGTGGTAGGAATATAAAAAGGTATAGCTGCTATGAAAAACAGTTTGGAAGTTCCTCAAAAAGTTAAGCAGAATTACCATCTGACCCTGTATTCTACTCCTAAGGATTTACCTAGAAGAACTGAAAAGATATGTCTAGACAAAAACTTATACACAAATGTTTACACAGCATTATTGATAACAGCTAAAAGGTAGATATTTTAGGCGAATCCATAGAGTCAGAAAGTTGATAAGTGATTGCCAGGGCTTAGGGGAGGAGGATATGGGAGTGACTGCTAATGTATACAGGGTCTCTTTTTGGGGGGATAAAAATATTATGGAATTAAGTAGTGGTGGTGATGTTGTACACCTTTATGAAGTATATACTTTGATAGGGTTGATTTTTTCGTATGTGAAATATAGATAAAGGTGTAATGAAAGAGCCATAAAGATTAATCTTTTATAAAGAATAAAGAAACTCTATTATCTGACATTATTAAGGAAGGTAGGTTAGTTGGTAGGTCAGTTAGTTTTAAAAAGTCAGTTAAGGGGCTGGAGTAGCTTGGTGGTAGAACATGTGTTGAGCATGCATGAGGCCCTGGGTTCAAATCCATGTGTACACATAACATCTTAGTTAAAAAGGGATTATGTAAAGATATATACAACCTAAAAACATTCTATGCCAATTTAAAATATGAGTCTTTTTACTTAAGTATCTTCATTATAAGATCAAGGTCTTTGCTTTTGGTTCATTTGCTGATCAGTGTTTTCTGCCATCATTCTGGCATAAACTGCACTTAGTGGTAAATATTTCTCAAAAATTTTTTTTCTTTGCTGGGGAATGAATCTCGGTCCTAAGCAAGCATTCTTATATTGAGCTACATTCCTAGCCCCTAGAATTGGCATTTTAAAAGATACATCTGAAAAAATTTGGGCCCAGAATCCTTCCAAATTTTTTCGGTTACTCATTCCTTTTGCCAGATAGCCTGTGCTAATTCGGATTCTCTTGACCTCACTCCTCTCTTGTTCTGGTCACAGCTACCAAGACTGTTCTGTGTGGACTCTGAAAAACGTCATGCTGGCACCACCTGCCCTGTGTCCCTATCTCGTCCTGCCTGCCGCAGTCCGGCTGGGCACAATAACCGGGAGGTGACAAGCAACTTGAAGGTTGAAGCGGCAACTGCTTTATTGCGGGGAAACTCAGAGGGAACTCAAGGTAGCGGGAGCCGCTTTATTGCGGAACAGCATAGGTATATATACCTAACTGATTACACACAGCTTGACTCAATTAGCATCATCTAGATACAGCAGTCAGCCAATAAGGAATCTCCACCATCTTAATGGCTTGGTGGCATTGCCTCACAAACCATTCCTCCTGGCAAACTGCCAGGCGCCATCTTGACTTGATTTGCGGTCCCCAACACCTGCCTATTGATGTTAAGGTGAATTCTCCCTGTGCAATCTGGAAATTATGGAGAGACATTCTAGAAGTCAGCCTTTAAGGAGTGACAGGTAAGAACTGGAAGGTGAGTTCTTCACCCTTTCTCCCCAACCTTGCATCCCACTCATACTGCTCCGGGACAGTTTTTAATGATTTCTCAGAGATTTGTCCATGAGATTAAGCATTTAGTTGCACTTACTGGTGACAGACCTGATATCACACCCTCACACTGGCTTTCCTTCTGGATCTGTTTCACCCTGGAAGCTCCTCATTCTTGCTCTCTGACACTTCATTCCTCACCAAGGAAACAGCCTATAAGCTTTTGCCTCAGGCAATGCTTTTGGTGGTGGTGGACCCAAACTAAGGCATTTTCCAATCTTGTACAGGTATTTTATCCACACCTTATTTGACAGCAATTTTTAGTACCTTAATTTCAGCAAGTCTTTCCAAAGTACTTAATCTTGATAGAAAAATCAAACTTTTCAATATGATAGATAGATTATATAATTGCAATCACAACTGGCAAAAAAGAAGTTTAAAATAAACATAATTGGACTTGGCAGTTATACAACCCATGAGTATGCTGGAAGGCACTCATGAGCCTGCTAATTATTTTTTTTTAATGAGCAACAACTTTATTTACTCACATAAAGGCTGATGAAAAACCATTACTAGTCCTATTAAAGAAAATCCAACATTTCAATAGAATAGTATCTATTATTTACTCATTAAGTACTCATCATAAGAAATTTTGTAAAACACAATTTGAAAACATCTAGAATCCTTCTTTAATTTTAGTACAATGGATTCAAGACCAAGTATCAAAGCTAGGACACATGCATCAAAGCTAGATTACAAATAATCATAGTCACTATCATCGTCATCATCATCATCATCTTCATGTTTCTTTTCAATGCACTTGACGATCCATTGGCAATATTTTATGATAAAACCATATTATTCATATATATCAATAATATGGTTTTATCATAAAATAATAAGAATGTTTTTGAGCCCAATTAATGGATTAATCAGACCGTTCTGAGCTGCTGGTGTTGCATGAATTGAGGTTTTTATGGCAGGAAACTGTGAAATAGGCCTCTGTATTGTCAACTTTCCGCTGTGACATTGGAGTCCCTACTTCAGTTGAAACAGACATGGTTTGTTGGATTGGCACACTTCGTCTGGTAGTAACTGAATTAACACTTAACCTTGGAACTGTTATTCTTCCCACAGCAGTAGGTGATTTTTTGTAAAGACTTGGGCCTATAGTTTGGAGCTGTTAAGCAATATCTATAAAGTGGCAACCAAGGACCTGAATATGGCTTGATCAGTGGCAAAAATGTTTGATTTCTTTGCCTTGCAATATCTAATAAAACATCTCTTGAGAGAGGAGAGGTAAAAGAGTGGTCAGCTCCACACTGGATTACCAATCACACATGTGCATCAACAGTAGCCTTCTTTGCATGGCTTGAATAAATTTTAGCATCATCTAGAATTGTGGTCACATATTAGAAGGCAAATTCCAACATCTGATTTGTAACTCTTGGTTCATATTCTGTAATCCCCATATCCTTTAGGATTCATGTCACCATCTATGCATTTTTCAGCATGCTCTTGGGAGAAGCCATCTTGCAGGACTCCATGATATCCGGTGATCAAACTTCTTAGCTAAATCATCCACATTAATGTATTTCAGTCCTGATCTTGATGCAAGTTCTTTGCCTAGTATGGCTTTTTCAATCCCTGATGTACTAATGAGAAGAATGTTCATAAGCAATATACTCCTGCACCTAAGGGTAGAAGTGACTGGAGTCATGCACCCAGCACACCACTGATCCTGCTGATTTTATATATATTAGATGGACACAATACCTTTGTTTATTTATATGGTGCTGAGGATTGAACCCTACACGTGGTAGGCAAGTGCTGTACCCCAGCCCAGATGATTAATTTTGATGGCTTTTTCTGGCCATCAAAATTGGAATTTTTAAATGGCCCATAGTTAAATTCTTAAATGATGATTCGCCAACAGCTGAGCTTGTTAGCAAATGCTTGTAATCCCAGTGTCTCAAGATGCTGAGGCAGGAGGATTCCAAGTTCAACCAGCCTCAGTAAATTAGTGAGGACCTAAGCAACGGAGACCTTGTTTCAAAAAAAAAAAAAAAAAGAAAAAGAAAAAGAAAGAAAGAAAGGGCTGGGATGTGGCTTAGTGGTAAAGTGCCCCTGGGTTCAATCCCTGGAATCCCAGGTACAAAAAACAAACAAACAAACAAAAAAACATTTAGCCAGACACAGTGGCACATGACTGTAGCCCCAGCAATTTCAGAGGTTGAGGCAGGATAATTCCAAGTTTGAGGTCAACCTCAGCAATTTAGTGAGACCCCATTACATAAGAAAAAATAAAAACAACTGGGGATGATGTAGCTCAGTAATAAAGTGCCCCTGGGTTCAATACCTAGGTCAAAAACAAACAAACAGAAAAAGGAACATTTAGTCTAAATTAAGATTCACTACTTAAAAAATTATAAGACTGGAACTATTAGAAGTGAACATCAGACAGGGAGGAGGCTGGTTGTACTGAAGGATATTAAACTTAGGAAATTGAACTCTACTTTACCTAGTTCCACATTAAATCTTGAGGGCCTGTTCTAGGATTTCTTTGGTAAACAAGAGGCAATATTCAGAGGCTCTAGAACCAGGAAATTAAAAGTCTCCTTTGACAGGGCAAATTGAGCAACTCATGTCTGGAGGATCTCAACCTGCATAAATGGTATCATCTGTAAGTCCTTATGATAATGTGTAAAGCCTGTACCTCCAGCATGCTGTGCTCTCCCTTTGCATTTTTGGAATTATTTCTGTAAATTTCCATACACTTTTCTATTACAGATGTTTTCCTACCTTTAACTCTGTTGGTGTTTTCCCATCATTTATATTGCTTTCCTGTTTGATAATCAGATCAGTGATAATAAGATTGGGACTGTCAAAAAGATCCCTGAGCTTAGTGGCTAGGTTGATTTAAGTCATAGGTAACCTGCAGGAAAAAGTATGAACTTGGAATACCAGGGTATAATACAAAATTACCCTTGGCACAAATAGGTTTATAGATGAAAATGAGAAATTATTTTAATGGAGTATGTCCATTATTTCCTTATTTTTGGGAATTGGCATAATACATAAAAAAGTAATATGTAATGGGGCAGACTTATAGTTTCCTGTTACTTTTATTAGCTCCATCTAAAGTGACCATAAGTTCTCCTTGGTTCAGGGAGGCTTGGTTTATGCCGATTATCAGGTAAAATGATTATCGTCTCCTTTCATTCTTAAAACTATCCGAGTTTGGGCAATACATCATATGATCATTCCAGCTCTAGCCAGAGGTAGAGAGACACTTAAGACTTTCCAGCAGGGACTGGGCATGTAGCATGCAAGGTCTGGGTTAAATCCCTAGCACCACCAGAATGAAACAAAGCAAAACAAAAAACTTTCCAGCAGAAACTGAAACAGGAAACTACTGGATTAGGAATCTAGCTGGTAGCTCAGACCAAGACAAACTCTGCAAATATAACATTTGGGATGTTACAGTAGGTGTGGCAGGGGGTCCAGTGTCCTCTACAAGTACACACTAGGCTGTCAGCAGTCTTTAAGCAGATATTGTGTAACAGCTGAATATATATGTATATATATAATAAGTCTTACATGAACACTAATATATATACATTAGTCTTAGATGGACAATAACATTATTTTATTTATTTATTTTTGCAGTGCTAAGGATCAAATCCAGTGCCTCATACATACAAGGCAAGCACTCTATGGCTGAGCTAAAAACCCCAGACCACAGGTGAGTTTTCAGAGAAAAGGTTGGAGCTGGGAAATAATTTAATTCATTGGCTTTGTTCTTTATAGTAGAAAGAGGAGACAAATTGCACACAGGAAAATCAAGTGTTAGAATGGCTTTCAACCATTATTTTTCACGTTTTGACCATTCTTATTGACCTTACAAATAAAGCTTGAAAAGCAATGTATTTGGAGCTTGTACTTACTTATTTATTAGTTCTCATCAGCTACACATGACAGTAGAAAGAAAGTTCTTCTATTCATTGTACATAAATGGAGCAGAATTTTTCACTTCTCTGGTTGTGCATGAAGTAGTCACAGCATTCATGCAATCATACATATACCTAGGGTAATGATAATGATGTCCATCTCATTCCACTGACTTTCCTACCCCTTTGCCCCTCCTCCCTTCCATTTGCTCCATCCAAAGTTCCTCCACCCATCCCCCCCATATGGATTAGTATCCACTTATCAGAGAAAACATCCAGTTACTGTTTTTTTTTGAAATTGGCTTATTTTGCTTAGCGTGATATTCTCCAACTCCACCCATTTACCTGCAAATGCCATAATTTTATTCTCTTTTAATGCTGAGTGATATTCCATTGTGTATATTTACCACATATACTTTATCCTAATTTGTCTACTGAAGGGCTTCCACAGTTTAGCAATTGTGAATTGTGCTGCTATAAACATTAAAGTGGCTTTGTCACTGAGGTATGCTGTTTTTAAGTGTTTAGAGTATAGATCAAGGAGTGGGATAGCTGACTCAAATGATGGTTTGGAGCTTAGCCTTTTCAAAGATGTAAAAAGGTGTTCAGAATAGGATTCAGAAATGATTGTCTACTTGAGCACATGCCCTTCTAAGAGAAATAAAAAATAATTAAGCCATCGACTTTTTAAAAAAAATATTTATTTTTATGTGATGCTGAGAATCTAACCCAGGGCCTCACACCTGCGAGGCAAATGCTCTACCACTGAGCTACAGACCCAGCCCCTAAGCCACAGAATGTTTATTGGTAAAACAACTGGTAAAGAATCTATTTTCCTTTGTAGATTTCATTTCAGAGACTTCTTTATGGATGCATATTACTTGGGCAGGTAGTGTTCTGAATGAATATTTTCACTGATCTTTATAAATTTAGCTAAATAAGTTTTATCACTTCCCTAGCGATCCAAGTTTTCAAAGCATGTTGAACTCAAATGAGTTCAAAGTAGTGACTGAGATCACAGGAAGTATTAACTGACTTTTCTACTTTAGATATTATTTTATTTAGTATATGAAACTGCTGGAATGAGATAAGACGGGAGAGGCTCGTAACATGCTCAGAGCTCCTCAAAGTATGTTTTAGGTCCTGGGAAGAAAGTAATTTGAAGCTGTTAAGATTCTTGCCTTCTGGATCTGGCTTATGAAATTTTACCTGTCTCCTATAAATATGTACAAGAGCTGAAAAGATAAAAATAGTGTTGGGAATGCATGGAGATATAAAGTGAAAAATATCAACAGAAGGAAAATCAACTACACTTGAAAAACAGTTTTATTAAAATTAGTTAGCAAACTCTTGGAAGCTCAAGAACTAGAAACACAGGAAAGGAGCAGACAGCATGAAGCCTCACACTGGGAAGAGAGAGGCAGCGACATGCATTCCCTGATCCTACCCAAGCCGGAAAATACAATTTGAAAGATGGAGATGTCTAGGGATATATGGTGGAATAGTTGTGCTGTCCAGATGCAGGGGTCATCTGGACACGCAAGTGAATATTTTGGCAAAACAAAGAAGTAGAAAGAAGAACAGTGGGGCATAGGCAGTAACCATCCACCCTTTTCAGCTCTTTGGAGACAATTCTTTTATTTTAATTAAGAATCTTTTTCTTTCTTCTTTTGGTGTTCTTGCTGTGATGATTGGTTTGTGTACACACACACGTGGGTATATGTATACATACATATTTGTTTCTTTTTTTCTCATTTTTATGATAGTTATTTTTCCTTGTCTTTTGAGGATTAGGGTTTTTGGTTTATTTTTGTTTTGTATTGGTTCATTTCTTTCCTTTCTTCTCCTGCTACAGTCAAATTCTCTTGTATTTTCTCCTGTTACTTAGTTTTATTTTTTAAATTTTTTTCTTCTTCTTTATAACCATCACTTACTATATACATATCTTCTGCTACATACATATTTGCTATGTACATATTTTCAATATTCTTAACATGGTCTTTTGAAGAGAAGAAGTTCTAAATCTTGATAAAATTTAATATATCATTTTATTTATTTATCTTTTTAACAGATCATTCTTCTGGTATTGTATCTAAGAACATTTTGTTTAAAGTAGTAGTTCTCAACTGAGGGTGATTTTGCATCTAAGGGAGCATTAGGCAAGTCTGGGGATATTTCTGGTTGTCACAATTGTGATATTACTGGTATCTAGTGGATAGAGAATTGAGGGTCCTGTTAAACATCCTACAATATACAAGATAGCCTCCTACCACAAAGAATTAGACAAACCCCAAATGCCATTAGTGCCAGAGTTGAAATACTATGGTCTGATGCAAAATCACAAAGACTTTCTCCTATGTTTTCTCTTGTAGATTTTATTGTTTTATCACTATGATCCAATTTTTAATTTTTTTATGTTACAAGTTTGAATCAGAGTTCTTTTTTTTGCATATAGATGTACAACACATAGGGAATAATATTCAGTCTTTCACCATTAAGTATGATATTACCTGTAGGTAATATGGATGAGAAAGTCAATAAAGAGTTAAAAATATTGAAAAATAATGAATTAGAAATCTTGGAAATCAAAGACACAACAAATCAAATAAAACTGTTCAGTTAAGGCTGGGGTTGTAGCTCAGCGCTAGAGCACTTTCCTAGCCACTGGGTTGGATCCTCAACACCACATATAAACAAACAAACAAACAAACAAACAAATAAATAAATAAATGATATTTTAAAAAAACTGTTCAGTTAAAAGTCTCTTTAAGGGTCTGGGGGTTATGGATCAGTGGTAGAGCACTTGCCTGGTATGTGTGAGGCACTGGGTTTGATCCTCAGCAATACATATAAATAAATGAATAAAATAAAGGTGCATCAACATCTAAAAAATTATTTTTTTAAAAAAAGGCTCTCTGGTAAAGCACACCATGCTGAAGACAGAATATCAGAGCTTGAAAACAAAGTAGCCAAGCCTGACATTCAAATAGTATTAAAGAAAATAAAATATATGATCAGACTATTCAAGAACTCTGGAATAACATTAAGAGATCAAATTTAAGAATAATTAAAATTGAAGAGCATTGTGAGATTCAGGTGAATAACATGGATAACCTCTTTGGGAAAACACTAACAATAATTTCCAATCCTTGAGAATGAGATGGACATTCAAATACAGGAACAATTTAGAACCCCAAATAAACAAGGTCAAAAAATAAACTTTACATGACACAATTAAAATACTTAACATATGGAACAAGGATAAAGTCTTAAAAGCCTCAAGTGAAAAATGTTAGGTCACATTAGAAGCAAGCCAATAAGAATTACTTCTGATTTATCAGCAAAAACTAAAAATCCAGGAGGCTTGGAATGAAGTATTCAAGTCCTGAAAGAAAATAATCATCTACCAAGATTGCAATAGCCAGCAAAGCTACCCTTTAGGATAAAAGGAGAAATAAAAACTTTACAAATAAGCAGAAACTAAAAGAATTCATGACTGCTAAGCTAGTGTTACAGAAAATACTTAAAATACTTCACACAGAAGAAATAAAAAAACAAACCTCAGAGATCACAAATGGACAAGTTCAATTTGAAGAGTAGTTAAGCAAATGAGAAACAGGACTTAAACATTTGAAATAAATCAAAATGGCAAGAATTCATAAATCTCTCTCTACAATAACATAGAATGTAAATGGTCTCAACTTTCCAATTAAAAGACATAGGCTAACAGGATGAATTAAAAAAAAAAAAGAACCAACTAAATGTTCTTTGCAAAAGACATACCTTACAGGCAAAACCAGCACATTACAGGCAAGAACAGCCACAGGCTGAAAGTAAAATGGAGCCTGAAAACAAGCAGATGTAGCTACTCTCATACATGACAAAACAGACTTAAAACCAAAATTAATCAGAACCCCAAATAAACAAGATCAAAAAATAAACTTTAATCAGAAGAGACAAAGAAGTTCCCTGATAAAGGGAACAATCTAACAAGAAGATATGATAGTATATATGTATGCCCCAAATGTTGGTATGCTTAATTACATAAAACAGACACTACTCGAATTAAAGACTCAGATAAGACACTGATACAATAAAACTGGGTGATTTTAATACACCTCTCTCACAAATAAATCAGTCATCCAGACATAAACTCAGTAAAGACTCTTTGGACTTAAAAAATATTATAAATCAAATGAACTTAACAGACATCTATAAAATATTACATTCAACAACAAGAGCTGAATATAATTCTTCTCAGCAGTTCATGGAACCATATTTTTGGCTACAAAGCAACTCTTATCAAATACAAAAAAATTATATAATTCCTTGAGCCTTTGGGATCAAAAGGGAATGAAATTAGAGATTAACACCAAAAAACTCTACAGGAACTATATAAACACATGGAGATTGAAAAACTTTTAAATGATGAATTGGTATTAGAAGAAATCAGGGGAAAAATTTAAAAATTCTTAGAATCAAATGAGTATAGTTACACAACATACCAAAACCTCTGGGTCAGTATGAAGGTAGTCTGAAGGGAAGAGTTTGTAGTTATGAGTGTCTACATAGGAAAAAAGAACGATCCTAAATAAACTGCCTAACAATGCATCTCAGTTTCCCTGAAAAACAAGAAACAATCCCAAAACCAGCAGAATGAAGGAAAAAATTAATATCAGAGCCAAAAATCAATACGATTGAGAAAAAAATTTATAAAGGATCAATGGAATGAAGTTCATTCTTTGAAAAGATAAACAAGATTGGTAAAGTCTTTTTTCTAAAATTTTGTCTTGTAGTTGTAGATGGACAGAATGCCTTTATTTTATTTGTTTATTTTTATGTGGTGCTAAGAATTGAACCCAGTGCATCACACGTTAGGCTGTGCTCTGCTACTGAGCTACAGTGCCAGCCTCAAGATTGATAAATTCTTACTCAAACTAACCAAAAGAAAGAAGATCCAAATTAATAAAATTAGAGATAAAAAGGTAGAAATCCTTAGGTACTGTTTTGAAAACATATAATAAAAAATTTGAAAACCTAGAAGAAATGGATACATTTCTAGATATATACAACTTGCCAAAATTGTATCAAGAGGACATGGGAAATAACTGCAAATGAGATAGAAACAGTAATGA